GTGATGTAAGTAAAATATGATATAGGTGAAACGCAATAGATATGAAACACTGATATAGTTGAAACACATCAGATGATGGGATCAGTCATACAGTTACAGGGTCAATGACAAATAGTTAGGAAGAGAAAAAGAACCCCCCCTCTCACGCTGTAACACATTCTCAATGTCCTTCAGAATGGCAACTAATTGACACCATTGTGTAAGAACGCTAGGCTTATGGGAGCTAGGTGGAGTGAACGCTAAGTCAAGACTGGGGAAACCCAGCTCAACCAGCACCTCTATATATACTACTACAGCATTATGTACATGTGTTTGTCTCAGAAGGTACTGGAACTGTGAAGACCATCTCAGAAGCATCCGGATGCCTTATGTATCTACATGTTTGATCCTGCAAGATCTGAAACAAGTTCTTGTGAGAGTAAAGTAATGTCTGTGTGTGAATAGAACATATCTAGGTCTATGTAAAGTAAATAGAAGAGTTCTGTGAAGAATACCAACATCTATGTGAAGAATACAGCATCTAGATAAGGATCATGACAAATTACCCCCCCTTTTAGATTGGCACATCCTTGTGACAATAAACCATAAGTGCCACTGATGCGACCTCAGGAAACCTAACCCTAACTTGGGGGTGCGAAGAAAAGGGTGAGTTCCTATTTCTCGGGGAAGCTGATGTGGGTGAGGGCTTATAGTTGTGATAGCTCGCTCAAACGGCGACAACTTCACTAGACTTTCTCGGGATGGTGTCACAAGACTGTTTCGGACCGTCCGAACACTCCGACTTCTCGTAGAAGCAGAGGGAAGGTAAGAGGGGAGCTGGCTCAATGATGCAAAGGCGAAGTGCGATTCGAGTGTGGACACATGAGTCTTGTCCAAAGGTCGGGCGCAAGAACAGAACTTTGGGGGACTTAGCTGTACGAGTAGGTGTGCTTTGAAGGGGGTGTACTGGTCGTAGACAAAGGTTGAAGGGCATAGGCGTAGTTTGAAAGTCGCAGACGTAGTTCAGAGGGTCGTAGTCATAGTTTGTAGGGAGACGCAACACTTCGAAAGCAAGTTCAAAGCTGGAATGAGCTCTGCTGAGTGGGGGATGTGATTCTGCGCAAGTCTCGCTACTAGGGGCCGAGTACTGGCTTACAACCATGTAAAACTGCTCTTAAATATCCCTCATCCTGCCGAACCTCCTGAGTCACCACCTTCACTGCCCTGACCGTGCCGAATGATCCTGCTATCCTTCCAACTCCCGCCCGACATCTCCATCAGTTTCCGATTCCTGTCCACCGTGCTATTCCTGCTAGTCTCGGAGGCCCGACCGTTGTGAGTCTTGGCGTCATGACCCGAGCGCATCGACTTAAAGGTTTACCTGTCTGCCCTGTATGGTATGTCCCCATCTCCAGATGATGGAGTTTTGTCTTCGAAGTCGAGCCCCCGGAATAAAGCCACCACCGAAAGATCCCGATTGGATCATCGTGAGATCGCGAAGCTTCGAAGATGCTGAAGGGCGGGCCTTGCTCGAAGGCATTCTTGTGTCGAGGTATTGCAGTCGTCCCCAAAGGCGGAAGCTTCGAATGCTTCGAATGTTGAGTACGACTTGAGGCGCACCCATGCGCTACATGGGCCTATCACCACTGAGAAATATCAAAAGGGCCCTGGCTATATGCTATACAGAGCACAGTGATCTCCAGACCAGCACCTTTACCACATTCCAAACAACGCAACATTATGAGGTTTATCTATCTCTGTATGGTATTTGTGCGTGCATTGAGTTTTTAGATTAGGTTCAGAACAATAGAGAATAGGATATTCATATAATTTTGGATCAGGGTTGTATGTCGCATTTTCCACCCCTAGAACTAAGGCATGGTATTGGCCATTGCAGACGTAAACAGTGTCCATGTTTTCATCTCTATGCCAATAGAATTTTTTGACTTTCCCTTCAATGTACGGTGTTATGTCGTTGTGAGTGACAATAACAGGTTGAATTCCTCATTCCCTCCATTGGTCATATATAGTTCCATAATATTCCCAAACTCGATTATATGTGGGTGTGGGTTCTATGCCTTCTTCCTGTCTTTGTAGTGGTATTCTAATTGTTGGCATCCTTGGCGCATTAGGATTATTTCTATAGTATTCATCTATTTCTTTTTTGTTTTTCTTGATTAGATTTCCTCAGCTGACCCACACATCTTCTACCCTAGATCTTCCCTTCCATCGAACTAAGTATTGTAAATGGCCTCTTTGTACTTCAGAGTCCAACACTTGTTCTACTTCTGGTTCTGTAAGTAAAATACTAGGTACTTCGCATGTAGTAGTTTGATTAGGAAATTGTGGTTTGTTGTAAGGTTATAATAAAGTTTTGTTAAATACTGGATAGATAGCTTTCCAAGTTGCCAGTAATGATAACCTGTAAGCTGCCTTTCCTACTTTTTCTATTATTCTAAATGGTCCGTATCATTTATTGTCTTGTTTCTTATTAGGTCGATTTGTACCAATGTCAAGTCCTTCTAACCATACTAAGTCGCCTTTATTTTAACTAATAGGGTCTGTTTTCTTTCTATTGTAGTATTTTTTCATTTTTTCTTGACTTTTTTCGAGCATTTTTTCTGCCATTTCCTGTATTTCCTTCATTTGTCCATGAAACTGAATCGCAGATTCATTTCTCAGCTCCTTTCTTGACTCAACTCCTGTGAAGGGTTCCCGCCCATGTGTTATAAAGAAAGGTGAAAATCCCATGCTTGAATGCTTCCTAGAATGGTATGCGAATTCAGCCATTGGCAACTATTGTGACCAGTTGTCTTGGTAGTAGTTGGTATATATTTGCAGATACATCTCTATTTCCTGATTACTCTGTTCGTTTTGTCCATCAGTTTGAGGATAGTAAGCTGTACTTGGATTGCCCATTATTCCCAGCTTTTGATAAATATCCCTAATAAAAGTAGAAACGAATTGAGGTCCTCAATCTGAATAGATTCACCTCAATAATCCATGTTTAGAATAAATATGATCTATATATAGCTTGGCCCAGCCTTCTGAATTAAGCAAGTCCATTGTCACTATAGCTATAAAGTCCTTGCTTTTCATGTCTACATTGACTAATATAGAGTTACTGTTACAGCTTGGAGGGGGGTTTCCTTTTCTTTCCTAACTATTCATCGTTGACCCTGTACTATACTACTGATCCCATCACTTGATACTTCATCACCATTAAGTGTTTCATATCTATCACTTGTCTCCTGTCTTACTTACATCGCGGTTTCTCATCTATCATGTTTCATTTCTATCACTGGTACAACACAGTGATATCTGTCGTCTGTACATCACTGATTCAACTCAGTGT